CCTGTGCTTTGCCAAGCTTGTTCCAAGTAGGTGCTTTAGACCACTGAACCATCTCACCAGCCTGACCTTGTGCTTTAAAAAAAAAAAAAAAAAAAATCACTCAAATCATAGCTTACAATAAATAGGTAACCTCTGTCTTCTTTTATTGCTATAGAATATCCTAAATGAGAAAACTGGGGAAGAAAAATCTTACTCGCAAGGACTTATGTTAAAGCAAACACCTGAACTGATTTTCCTTCTTTGAAGAATAATAGAAATAAATGTCAGAGGACTATTCCTCTGAGCCAAAAACAGAATATACTCAGGACAAAAGACAAGAATTCAGAAAAAGATGGCAGTTTCATTTCAGAAGCAACCTGGTAAAAAACCTAAAAGAGAAAGCTTTTATTAGATCTCTCAACCAACAGAAAATGTGTTCATCACCCTATGTCAGTTCCCTATGAGGAGCAAGAAGCTGTTCATCTTTGCATATTAATGACTGCTGTCTTATGAGGGTACCATAGACAACGTATATATGCATGCAGCCTGTGATGATGGCTTACTAGACAGGTACATTTCACTTATTATAACATGCTATGTCCCATAACTTGGACTATCACTTAAGTAAACAAATCCACTCACTCACAGCATTGAAAACTCACCTCACCTCCATCTTTCCACTCCTACCCTGTGCCTTGCTGTGAACCTAGTCTTCACAAGTGGTGAGGTGAGGCTGCTTGACAGCAAAATGACTTGCATTAAATGTCATTTTCAATGCCTGCCTTAAAAAGGACCATGGGTAACAACATATGAGCAAATTTAAACTTTAAATGTACTTCATATTTCTACATAAAGAGTCTTTTGGGGCTGGGGAGATGGATCAGTGGAATAAGCGCTTCCTTGGCAAGCGCAAGGGCCTGAGTTCAGTCCCCGGTTCCACAAAAAAAAAAAAGTTTTTTCACGGAGAATTTCTTTTTTCAATTTAGATCTTTACATCCTTTATTACACTGATTTTAGCTGCCATGCTCACTCAGTGGCCTGCCTACATACAACAGCTTTTTTGTAATAAGAATTAGTCTAGCTGGGCATGTAATCCCAACACCTGGGAGGGAGAAGCAAGAGGATCACCATGAGTTCAAGGCCAGCCTTAGATACACAAAAAGAGTTGAAGGCAGGCCTGAACTGCAGAGTGAGACCCTGCCTCAAAAATGAATAAAGAATTAGTCCATGAAAGTACTGAAAAATCATTACAATAAATGGGATAGAAAGCGAGAAGAGAGAGAAGAAACCATATTTATTTAGAAAATACCACTTTGTTCTTTATTTTGGTTTTCGATATTCAGTTTAGGACACATCCTAGCTTGGAGTGTGTGTGTGTGTAGGGACAGATTGGTCAATACATACAAAGTCACAGCCAGATGGAAGGAATGAGTTCTGGCATTCACAGATGAATTATTACAGTCAACAACTCTGAAGACTATAACTCAACACAGCTACAAGACAAGATTCATCACTGAGAAATAATGAATGAGATGGATACTCTAAGCCTCCTGAGTTAATCATTTCATAATGTGTAAATGTCATGAAATACCACTGTATCCCATAATGATGCACAAAATTGTCAATAAAATAATTTAAAAGAAACGCTGCAAATCCACACAATTCATGTGTATCAATGCTATTATACCAAACATAAGAAATGACATTATACACTTAATAAAACTAGCTAAAACTAGCAGGTTTATACAAAATAATCTTAAAAACAATTAGATAAGAATAGCTAAAGTAGCTAAAAGATGTAATGACTTTGTCTTCTAAAACAATCAGGTTTCTAGCCCCAACACTGAAAGTCCTTCCATATTACCTCAAAATGTGTCAATTCTTTCTTCTAACACTCAAACACAAGCAGAATTTTGTGCTTTTCTTGCAGTAATAATAGCTATTACAAAATCTTAACCTCATCAAGAAGTTCAGATACAAAAAGAAATGACTAAGCTCAATAATCATGCTAAATATTTCACCTTCACAATTTAAAAGTAAAAAGTTTTGAAAGAAAAGGACTTAACCAAACTATAACCCCATAACATATTTTCTTCAATAGTCCTGAAGATATGGCCCAAAAACCTCTGTGAAGAAATACTAGTCACATTAGGGGATATCACACTATTTTAAATATTTTAATCCAAACTGTCAAATTGACACTAGCCAGCTCAATGCATATCAATATTACTTTATATCATCTTCATTTCTATATTAATTACAAGGGTAGAACACAGAAAATACAGACAGATAAAATATCTAAGAAGTAACACTCAATGCCATTCTTCATTACTCATTAATAGCAGTATAAAGCCTATGACATTTCTGAGCCTAGCCCACCATACAAAATGATTTTAGTCAGAGACTTGCAAGTCTTCCAAGTAATTCCAAGAAAGTTCCACACTGGCACTAAGAGTATTAGTGTTACATAAGAAGGAAGTGGAGGAAGTTAAATTAACTAAAGAAAATTCTTCCTTGGGTCAAAATTGAAGAGAATAATTGTACCAGTATTGACTTGATAGCAGCTCTGTGTTGTGATTTCATAAAAAAAAAAGATAAAATATGTCCTTCAACAGTTATTTTAAAAATAAAAATTACAGATACAAGGAAAAAAGGAAATAAAAAGTACTTTTAGGAGACAAAAAATAAAAAGTCAGATATCCAACACCTCATTTTCAAATTTAAAATCATATTGTTAGTTTGTCCAAAGTAGTTCAAATTTAAAGTCTGCGCTATGGAACTGCACACATATGTTCTATTAAGAGTTGGATTAACACCAACACACTATTATACTTTGCTTCCCAAATTATTTCCACTTACAGATAAAAGACAAGTTTGAAAAACGAGGTTAACTAAACTTATACATAAATCCTACCAAGAAGTTTTTTCTTTAAGTTTTACAGTTTGATTTAAAAATAAAACAGAAATAAGCTTCAAGATAAATCACAGTATTTTCTACTTAAATATACCTTAGTAAAACCTTCAGTAAATGTCCAAGTATTAGCATACATTGTCACTGACTTTAGATACTCAAATTAAATGAATCACTCTTTCACAGGTCTGAATGAATAGAAGCCTTGTAAAACAAATGCCAATGAGTTTAAAAACATAAACTCCTCCCAGATGGAAGGGAGGGACTCACAAGTTCAATACCCAGTTCTTTAAAGAAAATGACAGCTAAAATCTTTCTGGATACAGATTCTAATATAGATTTCATTATTCAAATTGCCCCACATAGTACTGGAAAAATATGAGGCAATTTCACAAAAATCACAAATTTAGTGGAATAATTTAACAGATATATAAATAAGAATTTACTAAAAAAGGCTTCCAGGGGAGATTTTAAATCAAAGTTTTAAATATAAAAGATGTCTTGTGTTGTTCAATCTTCCGAAGTTTCCAACGCTCTTTACTCTACAGTTACAGATTTGGCTAAATTCCGTGGGAAATCAACCTGCAAAGAATAAGATTGAAAGATTACACAGATTTAAGGAAAGGTGCTTGCTATAAATAAATATTCTATTAAGAGCCATGCTTGGTGGCTATAATCCCAACTGCTCAGAAGGCTTTGCAGGAGGACCACTTGAGCCAAAAGCTTAAGGTCAGCCTTGGTAATAGCAGCAAGACTCTATCTCAAAAAAATAAATAAAATAATAATAATAATCTGATTTAAAAATATTACAGGCTGGCCACACAGTAATACATACACATCTATAATCCCAGCTGCTCAAGAGGTTGAGACAGGATTACAAATTCGGGGCCAGCTTGGGCAATTTAGTGAGGCCATGTCTCAAAAAGAACTTTTTTTTAAATTCTATTTTTAAAAAAGTCCAGGCTTGGCCAGATAGCTCAGTGGATTAAAGTGCCTGCTTCGGCAGACGCAGGGACAGGCACAGGGGTCCAATCCCTGGTATACTGTGCCAGCCCTGCCCCTGAGGCACACTGAGACAATGACTGAGACTGGACATGGTGTCATAGGCCTGTAATCCCAGCACGTGGGAGGCTGAAAATAGGAGTTTCACTACAAGTACAAGCTGTGTAGTGACCCTGTAGATCCTGTACTACATACATAAAAAATAAATAAAACAAAATTCCAAAATGATATGATAGGAGGGTAACAATGGTTAATACATTGCATACTGTTATCTTTAGTCTTTAGTTAGTACAAGATATCAGCATTTAATTGTCCAAACAATATTAGCACACACCTATCTTTTCAGTGAACTAAGAGAAATTAGTAGTGTAATTACCTTAACTATCTTTTATATATAGTTTTTCCTTTTGCTTTTCCCTTCCTTCTTTTCTTCATCCCCCCAACCCAGTTTGTCTTTCTTTTTGAAGTTTCTTCCTATTTTACAGTATCTGTTACACATTTTGGATCTTATTTACTCTCAACATTCTAAAAGGAACTAGGGACAGCAGACATAAGGCCTCAAGTTTAATCCCCAGTACTGCAAATCAAAGAAAAAGAACAAACAAGAAAATCTGCACAATACAAATATTGTACCTTAACAAAATCTGAAAAAGAATTCTAAAGCTTCTAATAGACATAGTAAGAGATGCTTTGGCCCTGGATAAAGGTGGCAACCCTCACAAGAGATACTATGAATATAAGAACAAAAAGTTTGCCCAGTAACTGAGGGCAAAAAGGCTATGCATGGGAGATATATAAATAGTGGCCACAGGCCAACACCTATCTTATTAAGAGGGATACATTAAGAAAACAGGTTTTGCCCAATCTAGAGGTGACTCTCCAAAGTTAACTCAAGCGTTATGGGTAAGAGGACACAAATCTTTGGCCCATAAAAAGATAACAGAGGGCTTGCCAGAGAGCTCAGCAGATTGAAGCGCCTGCTTAGACAGACACAGGGACCAGGATTCAATCCCCGCTGTGCTGTGCTGGCCCCACCCCTGGGGTGTACTGAGATAGCAACTGAGAGTGAGCAAGGAGGCACACACCTGTAATCCCAGTGCTGGGGAGGCTGAAAAGAGGAGGATCACTACAAGTCCCATTGTGTAGTGAGACCCTATAGACCCTGTACTAAATACTTTTAAAAAAGGAAAAGACAACAGATAACAGGTACATATTTGATGAATTTTTCAAATGCTATTGTTAAAAATTTGCAAGGAAAAATATCAGAATGTACCCAGGTAAAAAACCATCCCAAAGTTTTTACAGTGGTGCATCACTTACATCGTAGCCTCTCAGCACAGCAAGGTGGAAAGCCAGCAACTGTAAGGGGATCACGCTGAGAATGCCCTGCAAGCAGTCCACTGAGTGGGGTACCTTGATTGTTCTTTTTGTGTTTTTAATAGTCTCAGTATCCTCCTTGTCACAAATTACCACAGGGCGCCCCTGGGAAAGAAATCAGACACAATCATAAGGGAGTAAATGCAAAGCTATATAGCACAAGAAAGTGGAAATTCTGTACTGCACAATCCACATACAGCCTCACTGATGGACACATTTAAACTCACACTCATTGGGGGCCAGGAGATGGCTCAGTAGACTAAGTGCTTGCCTGGCAAGCGCAAGGGCCTGAGTTCAATCCCCGGTTCCGCCAAAAAATTTTAAAAAAAAGAAAAAGAAACTCACACTCATCTCACTCAGGCAGTGAAGGAAACAAAAGCTTTGTGAAATTCAATAATCCTTAAAAACTCAAACTAAGAAATTACAGGCTTAGAACTTGAATGCAGTGCTCTTAGAAAGTGGTATCTTTTAGGAGTCATACAATTAATTTAAAGAAAATTCTATTAAAAACAGCATTCATAATACTAATGTAAAACTGTTAAGCTTTATTCCGAAATAACTACCTAAGAATATTAAATTAATAGGAAACAACACATGCTAGTTTTAAAAAAGAATTTAGAAACCAAGAGTTTCGGTCTCAGTCTTGATTTCAGTTTTGCCCATGGAAAGTCCCTGTCTGTATTCCAAAGCAAAAGAGTCATCAAATGTAAACATATTTGTAAGTCACCTATCTGGCACTCGTCTAACACCGGTCTATCTACAAATCAAATAAGCACTAATTGCTGCAGAGGCTGATAGGAGGATCACCAGAGTCAGAGCTGCATAGTGAGACCCTGTACCAAATAAATAAATAGACAGACAGACAGACAGACAGACAGACACAGACAGATAGATAGATTTTTTTAAAAATTAGGGGCTGGGGAGATAACTCAGTGCTCTAAGTGCCAGCCTGGAAAGTGCAAGGACCCAGGTTCTATCCCCAATACCACATGCAACCCTGGGCATGCCACACAGGCCACCGAAACGGCATGGTGGTGTGCACCTATAGTCCCAGCACTGCGGAGGCTGAGACAGGAAGATGACTATGAGTCTGAGCTGTGTAGCAAGACTCTGCACGTACTAACTAAAT